CTCCAGTTCTGTATCATTTTGTTGAAATTTTTCCATTTGTAATCCATAAATTCCTGGAGCCTTGTTCTTTACCTTTGTTTTTCAGTGTAGCTTGGACTTCTACTTAAGTACCATTGACTCTTGTTCATTCATATAATAACACTTGAGTGGTTGAACACCAACCATTTCTTTTTTGGTATAGTGACTTGGTGCATTCCATCCATCCTCTTTTGGTATTTTCTGAATCATTCAACATTTTGTCCATAGAATACTTCAGTTATGCATGTAAGGCTTGACTATTTTCTTTAGTCTTTCAGCTTGAGAATGCTGAGCAGCATATTCTTCCCTTTAGGTTTTCTAATTCCAGACATTTGCACATTTCATTGTAATACTTGACTTTGTCTACTTTGAGATATCCCGTAAAATTTTCTGTTTAGCTCTCTTTCCTCCTCATTGCTTCTATTTGTTTTAGCATCTCTACACTGGTGAGCAAGTTTCAGAGTCTCTTCTGACATCCATTTTAGTTATTTCCTTTGCTCTTATCATCTTAATGACTTTTTTCTTTCTTCTTCTTTGATGTTCTTGATGCCATCCTAAAACCTTTCTGGTCTTAGGTCATTAGTGGCTAATGCATCCAATCTGTTCTTGAGATTAGTTCATTTTAAAAATTGAATGATGTACTGCGATATACACCGTTTAAATTGTCATTGATTTATATCTTTAGGAACAACATTTGATGAGGATATGTGAGCGTCCATGAGATGTTATTCTACATAATGTCTAATGTCAATTTTTTATTACATTTGCTTAAGGAAACTAGTGTGTTACTGTGAGTTAATGCTCTGGTCTGCAAGGTGGTTTTGAACTACAAGATCAGCAGTTCAAGCTCACTAGCCACTCCTTGGAAACCCTGTATGGTTGTTATGAGTTGGAACTGACTTAATGACACTTAACATCAACAACACTAGTATAGATAATAAGAAATTAAGTTCCTTCAAAAGTACCATTTTAATTAGCAATCAGAATTCAGTTCTGACAGTAGATTTAACTTTCTAATTTTGTTTTCTTAGAATAATATTAAAATTATTTGTACTCAAGCCTTTCTGGTACAGAAAAACATCTGGTTACAATTTAGTAGTAAAAGTAAAGCGTATTTCATCAGTTGTTATATTTGACCATGCATTTTCACATGCATCTGTGAGTGTTTTTAATAACCTAGGAAAGCCTTCAAAGCTAGCAAAGAAAGAATGAGTTCAAACTTCCTCAGTTTTTGAGTGCAGTAGTCTTTTAGCCACACTGGACTGACCATCAAGCAGAATTTGCTTTTTACTAAGTCATGAGGAGAAGTAGGAAAAAGATGAGGAATGAGACAATGATGTCTGTATTTCCAAATACTTTCTTCAGGAGCTCTATGAAGCAAGTATTGTTATCATCTATTCCCTTGATAGAAGAAACTAGGTGTTGAGCTCTCACCTAACATATCCAAGTATACACATCTCTGCAGTGGAGCTGGCTTATGAACCTAGGCAGTTTGACTTCATAACCTCTAAGTGTTTTTAATAATCCCCTTGAGTTGCAATTATAGTGAGGTACAGATACTTTGATAATAAAGGGATTCAAGAAATAAAGGACTATCCCACAGAGCCATCTGGTTTCTTTCAGCCTCAACACTAGACCTCTTCTATTTTGGGTTAGAAAGGAACGGCCTCCAACTGTGGTTCTCCCTCCCTGTTTCCTCTCTTCCCACTCAGGATGGCAGAAAGTCTGAACATTTTATCTATTTAGCATGTCTAGTAATTCAGGCTGTGAACAAACTTCACCATCAGTTTAGTAGCTGTTTATTGACAGTTGTGCTAAGATGCAAGGGGGACATAATTCAGAAATGTGTCCAGACATCAAAAAGCTGACAGATAATAATGGGTGGCGTGGTACACAAGTCTTTTAGGAAGATAAACTAGATGGTGTTATTTTCATTTTCTAATGTGAAGCTATTCACTACACATATAATTTGGAGAAGTGTTTATTTGGATTGCGTTTAAAATTAGAAATTGACCATCTGTATTTTTCTTGATAAGTATGTAGCCATCCTGACCAAAGGGCTTTTGATGATCAGGAAAAGCTTATATTAGCACCATTATTTTTGAAAAGGATGTAAAAATTTTGGAAATAATGCTCAGTAACTTGGAGTTCTGGTGTGGCACTGTAGGATTAGCCCTGGACTGGTAACTGCAAGATCAGCAGTTCAAACCCACCAGCTGCTCTAGTAAATCCTTTATAGGATTGCTATTCTTTGGAATTGAGTTGATGGCAAATTATCATTTAGGGCTTAAGATCATTTTAGTATGTATCCATAGATCTGTTATACATTTGTTACAATTAAAGTTGGAGTCCTGGTATGGTGCTGTAGGATAAGCACTGGGCTGCTAACTGAAAGGGCAGAGGTTCAAACCTAAGTAGCCACTCCTCAGAAACCCTATATGGGGTCACTGTGAGTCTGAGCCAAGTCTAAGACACTTGACAAAGATAACAAAATCAAAATGATATAGGCTGTATGTTGTTAAGTGTTATCTAATCGGTTCTGACTCATAGTGCCCCTGTATAGGGTTTCCAAGGAGCAGCTGGTGAGTTTGAATTACTGACCTTGTGGTTCAAAATCCAGTGCTGATCCTACAGTGCCACACTAGGAGTATAACGCATAACAACCCTGAACAGAGTATTTGAAGAGCTTGTGGTTCAAACTGACTTTGCAATCCAGTGCTTCTCCCACAGCACCAAACCAGTAATCCAGTAGGTCTGTATTGCAACATAAAAGACTGTATGTTGATGGGTGCTGTGGAGTCGGTTCCTACTCATAGTGACCATGCATAGGGTGACTGAGGCTATAAATCTCTATGGGAGCAGAAAGCCTCATCTTCCCCCACAGAACGGCTGGTAGTTTCAAACTGCTGACCTTGAGGTTAGCAGCCCAACTTATAACCACTATGCTACCAGAACTCCTTAAAAGGTTGTATGTTGTTGTTAAGTGCTGTTGAGTTGGTTCCGACCCGTTGTGACCTTGTATAGGATTTCTGAGGAACAGCTGGTAAGCTTGAACGGCTGACCATATGGTTCAAACCAAGTTTGCAGTCCAGCACATTAACCCACAGCACCATACCAGAACTCCAAAGGGCTGTGTAGCAACATAAAATCCTAAGCATGCATGTGCTAGATCACTAGCAAAATAAGATAAGAAACAGTGAGCTTGACATTTGTGAAGCATCTCCTGTGCATGTGCACTGTCCATCATTTAGGTTTTTTTCTCATGTTCTCTTTCTATCAACATTCAGAAAAGTTGGTTATCTTAACATTTTACAAAGAAAAAATTACAGCACTGATATGTTAGGAGACCTCATCAAAGTCATAGTGGTTGAGCAAGAACACAAACTCAGATTTTTTTAATAATCTAAATCTTTTCATTTTTTCCCATTTGGATTACTCTGAATTAGTACATCTTTCTCCTGGCGTTGCTTTTGCTTCAAAGATCATGGTTTTTATAGTAAAGACTGGAATCACATGAATTCAACTAGAAAATGCATGTATTATGAAAATAAACACAGTGTAATGTAAGTATTGCAGATTTTTTTCACAGAGTTGCAGGGGCAATTAATAGCTGAAAGCATCATTGTTAAGACAAGCATTTTCCATTTTTTCTGACATTTGAAATGTGTACTGTGTAACTGCCAAAGTATTAGTAGTTCTTTGTAGTAAGAAAGTTCCAAGGACAAGACAAGAATAGCCATTATTCCTAGATAGCAAACAAAAACACCCTTTTCTTTGGGGAGGATTTTTGCGGTTAACTAATATATCTTAAGAATTGTAGGATGAATATGTTTGTATTAAGGAGCTCTAGTAATGAATTACGAGCTGCTCCAAGGGAAGAAGATGAGGCTTTCTATTCCTATAAAGATTTACAGCCTTGGAAATCCTATGTAGGGTCACTATTGAGTCAGAACCCACTCCAAGGCACATCACCACAACCACCGCCTTTGTGTTAACTAACATTATATAACTCATATTTTTAAAGAAGTTTTTTATTTCACATGGTATTTTTATACTATAATTATTACTAATACTAAAGCTTCTTGTGTTTGAGAATTGTCTGTTTTAACAAATTATATAAAATTTTTAATATGTTACATTTTCTAGATCATATTTTATTTATTTTAATATGTTTTAACTTTGTTACATTTATTGCAAGCATTCACAATAGTTTCGCACTGAGTTTTTTCTTAAATAAAATCTTTATTTTTCAAATTGCTCAGGTTAGTTTTGGAAAGCATTTTAATGGTTATATTTATATTTTTCAGGTGTTTTCTCCTGAAAATATCAATTACATTTTATAGTGTATGTATATTTTAAGGCATCCTGGTGTGGCATTATAAGATAAGCCTTGCACTGCTAACTGCAAGGTTGGTGGTTCAAACCCATCAGCCGCTCTTTAGAAACCCTATACAGGGTCACTGAGTTGGAACCGAATCATGACACTTAGCAACAAGTAATATATGTTTTAAAGGTTTGTGACAGTTCTTAAGAAAACAAAAATAAAAAGTGAATAGATGTAGATTTGTCAACTTTTCCCAATAATATTCTATTTCTTGGCATCGGATTGAAAAAACAGATCACTTTTTTCTAATCCAAAACTGTATCACTTTAATTTTTTTTTTTTCCTTAGAGAAGTATAGTCTGACTGAATGACTAGCTCTTCATATGTAACCTATGCTTTGTCATGAAAGAAAAAAAACTGTTTTTGAAGTATTTCTTTATTCACTGTCCTGTTTAAAACACAAAGAATGAAACAGCCTTTTGAAAACGTCTTTTCCCTAGTTATCTTTGTCTATTTGTAAAAATTGCTCAATTGCTTCCATAAAAAAGCCTCCAGCCATAAGGGAATCATTTGCATAAGTGGGTGAAGATTTTTGTCTTCCGTGAGGGAAAGCTTGAAGTGGCTTCTTAATAGTTGTTCTTCCTTTCTCTTGTTGCAGTATCCAGCTGCCCTGATGAACCTGGGAGCCATTCTGCACCTCAACGGCAGACTCCAGAAGGCTGAGGCCAACTACCTGCGGGCACTGCAGCTCAAGCCAGATGATGTCATCACGCAGTCCAATCTGCGCAAACTGTGGAACATCATGGAAAAACAAGGCCTGAAGACTTCCAAGACCTGACACAGGAGGACCGTGCCTTGGCCTCCATGTTTAAAAGCTGGCTTCATTAACTAACAGAACTTCCCAGCGGTGCTATGACAAGAGCTGGTTTTAGACTTCAAGACCAGAGGGCCGAGGTCACTGAGGGCACTACCACTTCTGGGAGAATCTACTTTGTTGTCGGCACAGCTGTTAACACCAAAAAGGGAAACATTGAAAACTCCTGATATTTGTAGTTGTTACCCATAAGACTGCAAACCAGAGCACTTAAGAAAGAAAGACTCTTTTGGCATTCTTAAAAAGAGGAGAGAGTCTAAATTACAGACATTGTTCACTTTTAAAATCTAATTTCAAAATTATATAGTTCCTTAAGCACTGTGAGAGGAAATCAGTGTCCATTCAATCACGGTAAACTGTTAAGGTCAAGTGTTAACAGGGAGTGATTGAAAGGTAGTATGAACCCCAGTGAGCTGGCTGGTTGTCCTAACACTGCTGTCTTTCCACTTTGGGATAGCCTACTTATCAATTTCTAAAGCTTAGAAAACATTTTTCTTTTTAAAATACTGTGTCAAGATCTGTCAGAATCTGTAGTTGTTTCCTGACTAGTGCATATAATGTTTTGTTATTTGGATGTCACAGATTTCATATCATTTGATGTTCATGTTCTAAAAAGAGTATGAAAAGCAGGCTAACCAGACTTCACAATGGTTTTATAAGAGGGATTGGACAGGCATTTTTATTCTATCGTCACGGTTCCCCCAGCCGCCTGCCAGAATTCACTGTATTATTCTTGCTGTTGAGCCTGTTCTGACTCATGGTGAACTCACGTGTTACATCTACTGCACCCTGGTGTTGTAGTGGGTTATGCATTGTGCTACTAACCACAAAATCAGCAGTTCAAAACCACCAGCCGCTCCATGGGAGAAAGATGAGAATTCTGCTCCTGTAAAGATTGACAGCCTCAGAAACCCTATACAGGGTCTTTGTGAGTCAGAACTGACTCTTTGACACCCAGCAGCAGCAGTATTTATGAATGGAGAGAACCAGGCGTTTCTTCCACAGGAGCACTGGGTTCTTATACCAACCTAGTTTTACCACCCATAGACCTCTGAATACAGAGCCTAATTATTAGGCTTTTGAAATGACCTTTAAAAAATGGCTATTCTTGGTTCATGTGCATGCTTTCATAAGGATTAAGTCAAGGGAAGTTTATAAATACTCCAATTAACAATAATTAATCAGCAACTAGAACAAAAGAGAAAGAAGGTTTCTTTGAGCTTCCCAGATGTTACTGCTTCAAAAATCAAGCCTACCCAAAGGAGTGTGTAATGATGTTTGCCAATGATTTTGCATTTTGGAAAAAGTGGTATGGAATGCTAATCACTTTCTAATATGTATCTAAATAGAATGCTAATTTCAGTAATTATTTTTTTATCATTTTATTTTGTTCTTCCACAAAGACTGTCAGAAGTGACTTATTTTAAGCTGCGGTAGAGTGTAGCATTGGCCCATGTGTTTCTAGGGTGTTTATTTTAAAAAAGTGCTTTTCTCACTTGAAAATTATTTTTTACTAGCAAATTTGGTATTTATTTTATTCCTTGTTAGTAACCACCTCAATAGTTATTTCAGTAAAAGATTATAAATGAAGTAGAGAAGAACATATATTGAAACATTGTCGAGTTGTAGTCCAGTTTTGTTATTAAAAACTAACTTCATAGATCACTAGTCCATTATAACTTCTTCATAGAGAAGATAGCTTTACCATACCCTACATATTTATTTATTTATTATTCTATAGTAGCAAAATAACAAAACAAAACTTAATTCATTAGACCAGTTCTTTGCAATTTATATTAGCTTTTTCTCCTTCCTTTTCATATCCACATATCTTCATACATATGGTCAGCATCCCTACTGAGAGAAGCTGAGCGTGCAAATACATCATATTATTCTTCATATTTTACATGTAATGCTATATATCTGAATACGGTGGGATAAAGGATTTAAAGTAGTGTTTCTATGGCATTGATATTCCTGTGATATAAGAACAAATGAAATGAGAAAATCTTTAGATAACATTACTAATAAAGTCCTCCTAAATATGTTTATTATTCTATAAACATTTTATTGAAGGACTAAAAGTTAAGTTAACTCTAAATCACTGTGTTTTCAAAATATCTAACAACAACAACAATCTGTGGTCAAACCAAAACAGTGGACTCAAGTATATTTTTCATTTTCTACTACATTGCAATTACAAAATTACAAAAAGGAATTTAATATAAGTATATAGAAATAACTCAATGGTTAACATTTTTATTTATTTAAATAGATATTGAACTTCTGATGATTTCCTGATCTTCATTTTAGATGTTGTCGTTATTGCTCTTCCTTTCAAATAGTTGGTTTTTAATTTGTTCACTGATTATACAGTAGAAGCGCTCCATGCTCATCCAGTTCCCATGTAGCAAAGACTATTGGGCCGATGTCGTAAAATGCATGGGTCTTTAATAACTAAGTGTCCCTGATGCTTTTTCTGTACAGGGCCAGGCTTAGTGACTGACCAGCTAAGAAGGGAGGACTGGGGAGGGAAAGTGGTTGTTAATACATGATCAAAAAATGTCTCCGCTCAGGGATTTATGGTGGATTATTGCAGACAGTGCTAAAAATACAGAGCACAACACAAGTTTACTAAATTAAAATTTTATTTTTTGAGAAACTGTTATTTGTATAAATTATCAAGATTTGTAGGTTTTCCTTTTGTAGAAATAATTGTTTTATGTGCCAGAGAATTTCAATTTTGTTTTCAACAAAATAAAGCATTGGTAACAAATAAACTGTGTAAGCTTTTGTTAAAAATCTGCTAACGGAACAACACTTAAACTCTTTTCAATTCTAGCAGAACTGTAAGAGAGATAAGAATTTGAAAGCTACAATAGAGATACATTCAGGTAAACAGTATTAAATCAATAATGTTGTTGTTGTTAAGTGCCGTCGAGTTGGTTCCAACCCATAACGACCCTGCATAGGGTTTCCAAGGCTGTAAATCTTTATGGGAGCAGAAAGCCTCATCGTTCTCCCACGGAGCGGCTGGTAGTCTCGAACTGCTGACCTTAAAGTTTGCAGCCTGATTCGTAACCACTGTGCTACCAGAGCTCCTTTATTAATAACTAAAGTAATAATGATTGCAGGTATCACCAGATAGTCAATGTTGAGAAATGTTGACAGAATGTTTTGTTTTTGAATTATGGAAAAGGATTCAAAGAAAACCATCCCAAAAAACCTCAGACTCACTGCCATTGAACCAGTTCCAATTAGTAGCCCTCTCTAAGGTTTCCCAGGCTGTAAACCTTTACCAGAGCAGAAAACTTCATTTTTGTCCCCACAGAGTGGCTGGTGAGTTTAAACAGCCAACCTTGCCGTTAGCAGTCTACTGCCTATTCTACAGCACTATCACCTGTCTGAGATATTGCTTAAGAAGGTACCTGCTTCTTTGTCAGTTTCCTGTTTTTATAGTTGTATAGAAAAGATCAGATTTAGGAAATTCTGACGCTATAGTTCTTGTCCTAGATGACAGCACCACCGAGCGTTGCTGAGAAATGGGATGTGTCATTATCAGGAGTCAGTTGCAGGGAGATCCTAGATGAGGGAGTAACTAGCAGGTTGAGAATTTTATTGTTGTTAAGTGCCGTCCAGTGGGTTCCAACTCTTAGCAATTAGGGTTTCTGAGGAGCAGCTGATGGGTTTGAACCACTAACCTTATGGTTCAACCCAATCTTGCAGTCTAGTGCTTATCTTACAGTGCCACACCAAAGAATTGAGAGTCTTGGAAAAATTGTTATTTAATATCAAAACGACAAGGATAAGTCAAAAAGTATCCACACTCTGGCTGTAGAACGTATTTCAATCAACATTTAGAAAAGACAAATACATCATTTTTGACATAATAGCCTTGCTTTTCAATATACTTTACCCATCTGTCAACAAGCTTTCGTATTCCCTTATTTAAAATGTTTTAGGCTGAGCTGTGAGCCACAAATGCACCATTTTCTTTGGTTCTTCATCAGAAGTGAAACTTTGTCCTTAAAAGGACTGCTTTCAGGGGACCAAACTGGTGAAAGTCTGATGGAGCAAGATCAGGAATATAGGGAGGATGCTTTAACACTTCAAAATGAAGTTTTTCCTGAGTGTCAAACGTGTGAGCAGAGGTGTGAGAACATATTTTGTCATACAAATTCACAACACCTTTGGATAGCATTCCTTTGCATTTAATCTGAAGTTTAGGCTTTAGCTCTTCAGTGAGCATCGCTCTGTAAGAGCACTGTTGATTGCTGAATCTTTTTCCTGCTAGTGTTCCAATACAGGCCTTTGAGAATCTTAGAAAACTGTAAGTATAAATTTTCCAGTTGACAGTTGACGTTTGAACTTTTTCTTGGTCAGCAATTGAGGATATCTCACCACCACTAACGATTATTTTTTAAAGAAACAAAAGTTTCCTTCCTTCAAGTATTGATCCAAACTTTGCAGATGTCCAAACACTTCTGTATATGCTCTTCTGTGACCTCTTTTGGGACCTATGCCCCACAAACTTTTGGAAACCCAAGTCTGTCATGTATTATTTCATAGGCAGAGCCATGGCTGATTTGCCACAGAATCCACTGTCAAAATTCTATTTGACAAAATCATTTCCTGTGCAAATTCAATGTTGTCATCAGCCACGGACGTGGACGTGGATGGGCACTTTAAGATAACCAGAGTGCAGATACTTTTTGACTTACTTTTTGACTCATATATGTTGCCTACTTCCTGAATCATGTGATAAAATTTAGCTATGAAGACTTTATATGTTAAACACCTGGTAATTTTGCGAGGGTATATTCTATTCTAGCCACTTAGGACTCAGAGGCATGTAAAAATGTTATCTGGTTACAGAACTTACAAGCATAAGACCATCCCCATGTTATCCTGCACTTACTGAAATCATACCATGTGACCACCCAGGTACTTTATTACGAAAAAATTAATTTTGTACATTACAAGTCCACTATAACTTCTTCACAGAGAAAATAGCTTTACATGTACTACATAAATCTGTGTTGGAAGAAGTACAGCCAGAATACTCCTCATAAGTCAGAATGACCAGAGTTTTCTCTCATACCTCAGACATATTATCAGGAGAGACCAGTCCCTGGAAAATGACATCATGCTTGGTAAAGTGGAAGGTAAACGAGAAAGAGGAAGACCTCCAATGAGATGGACTGGCAGAGTGGCAGCAGCAATGGGCTCAAGTATAACAACAGGTGTGAAGATTGTGCAGGACTGGCCAGTGTTTCATTCTGTTGTGCGTAGTGCCGCTATGAGTAGAACCACTGGACAGCACCTAACAGCAACAACAACAACATTATTTAATCTGGAGATTGTTTCTAGAGCCCCTTTGCATTTATATGCTTGCTTCATCTTCCACAAGTGGCTTAACTTCTCCCCTTCTCCATGTACTACAGATGACCACGAAACACAGATGACGTTGTAGGTAAAGAAGTCTGCATGAAGTATTTCTAAAAATTCAGATCATGAGAGTTGAAAATGGCTTTAGTGATCATGTAGCTAAACCCTAGGATTTCACCTGAGAAATGTTAAGTCTCACAAATTAAGTGATTTAACCAGAGATCTCAAAGTATCTCAAAGTTAGTGCCAATTACACAACTCTCCCCATCCGCTGCTGCCATCAAGTCTACTCTGACCCATAGCAACTCTAAGTAGGGTTTCTGAGGCTATAAATTTTTATGG